ATTCCAACCATTCTTCTTGTTAGCTATTTGGAGACATTTAAGTTGTTGCCAGTTTTCCTGATAGAATTAAGGCTATGATGCACTTCTTTGAACATTAGCCTTGTGTGCATCTCTGATTATTTCCTCAGATAGATTCCCAGAAATAGAATTATGAGGTCAAAGAACATAGTATGTCTAGGTGCCTGATGAGCACAGCCAAATTGCCCTTTAGGAAGATTGAACAGTCTTTCACTGCCTCCAGCAGTGTGCATATTTCTCAATCCAGTGTCCAAGGCTTCCCCAGACTTTAAACAGGACTTGTTTTTATGGTTAACCCTCTAAGATGAGGGGAGTCACTTTCCCATCCTGCTCTGCCAACTTATACCCATCACCTCCACTAGATCATACATAGAATGCAAAACCTGATCTCCAATTCCCCCCCTTTCTGTTCTCTTCACTAATTGCCATGCACTTGAAGAAAGTAAAAAGTATGCTTTTCATTCTTTTTTGTATTTGTACTCTTCTATTAGAAACTTAAAAAATACAGAAAGGTGAAAGTGAAAGAAATGACAGTCATGCATTTTCCCACAACCCAACATTAACCACTGTTAACATTTGGGCATACTTGTCTCTCTCCCATTTTTAAAGTTAATATTTGGAAAATTAGACAAACACTAATGGATATAGAGTTTTATTATTTTAACTTAAAAGGAAAACATTACAGATAAATCTTAAGAGTTCTCTATGCCCTACCCCCATCCCAACCCTCCTTCTATTTCTTAGAAGTCTTGTTTCAGTTTTGTGACAATACTCCTAATTCTTATAAACAAAATGCTTTTATATACATGCACTTATCTATTGGAAATATTAAATATTGCCATTTTGCATTTCACAAATTTTGCATAATCTTTGCATCACTTTGTAGCTTGCTTTTTCCCCCAACTCTAGTCTGTGCTTTGCTTGTAAGATTTATCCATGTACATAGATACTTGTGAGTTAATTCATCCCTTTTAATGTGAATTTAACTGGAGAAAACCTCCCTTGTACTCTTGAGGCCCTCCCCTTGGCAACATTTTGTCATACTTATTGGGAAAAATTGGCATCTTTTTGTTGTTTTTATTTCCAACTAATAATTAGCTTGGTAATTTTTCCAAAGTTTTTTAGCCATTTGAATTTTGTCTTCTGGAAAAGAGTCTTTTGATATACTGGGAGACTCAAGTTTTATATTGGTTTGTAATACTCATGGACCTGACATTGTCTTTAATTCTGCTCTTCTTGCTTTGGTATCAAGATTAGATTAGCCACATAGAATGTGTTGGCCAGACTTCTCTTCTTGTTCATATTTTGGTGCTGTTTACATAATACAGTTTTGTTTTGTTAATTTCAAAACTATCTTGACTTAGGCATTTTATGAGTTGGAGCAGATCTACTAACTTTTCAATTTCATTGATGATAATTGATCTACTTCTCTTCTAGGGCCAAGTTTTGGTTTTCAAATGTGATGGCATAAAGTTACTCATAGTGTGCTATTATGCTTTCTAAAGTTGTTACTCTATCTGGCATGTCCCCTTTGCCATTTATAATATTGCTTATTTGCACCCTTTTCTTGATCAATCTTACAAGAAGTCTGTCTATTAGTCTTTGAACACCAGTTTTTGGCTTCCATAATCAACTTCAGTTTCTGTTATTTTACTCATTTCTCCTTTTGGCATTATTATTTCCTTTCTTCTGTTTTCTCTGGGTTTATTTGGTTGTTGTTTTTCTCCCTCTTAAATGAGCACTTCAATTAAATTTTGTTTTCTTGTTTTGTGATAAGTACCTTTAAGGCTATAAATTCCTCTCTAAGTATTGTTTTTGTTGGATCCCACAAGTTTTATTATGTCAGGGTTTTATTGACATTCATTTGCAAATATTTGGAATTTCCACATTGGTTTTCTTTTTGATCCATGTTTTTTTCAGTTTCTAAATATAAGTTCTTTTTCTTTAAAAAATGTATAAAATCTTTCAATGTATGCAGACATAAAAATTGATATAACACCCAGCTTAAGAAATAAAAGTCGAATGTATGCTTATAAATTTTCACTTTATTTTTCATAAGTGATCAACATACATGGTAAAGAACAAATCTTCCTGTCTCCCTGGCCTCACCTCAGAAGCAACTGCAGATACTAATTTAAGGTGTACTCTATGAATTTAATTATAATTTAAGGTGTATGGGTTTCTTTTTGGCTCTTGTTTTGTTGTTGACTTTTAGTTTTACTTCACTGTGATTTGTGAATGTTGTCTGTAGATCCTCTGGAATTTACTGAGGCTTCCTTTATGGCCAGTACCTAGTTAATTTCTGTAAATTTTCCAAGTATGTTTGAAAAGAACAGATGTGCTCATGTCCTTTTTCTCAAATAGAAACCTGATCTCATGACTTCTCTGATAGCTTCTACAGTCTTCAGGTGAACGACTTACCACCTTAGCCTATGATTTGGCCCCAACATTCCTTTTTAGGCAAGGCCTTGGCCACCTCCCTTATGTACAACAAATTTACATTTATGTAGCTCTTGTACCTTTTAGGGTCAACTTTCAGAAGAACATTTGAACTGCTAGAGTTGTCCTGTAGCAGAGTCTAATGTCTGGAGATCAAAAGTCCTAGTAGATACTCACTGGATCAACTAGAGAATGTGGGCTCTTCTGGGGATGGAGTCCCGCTGAGGCAGGAGAGTCACCCTGTGGTGAGTCACTCACTCATCACCAACTCCAATCCTTACTCACTGCCTGCTCTTCCAGAAGCCAGTTCACCTCATAGAGACCTCTGGTTGCTCTGCCCCTCCTTCCTGTCTCTGCTTGCCTATGCTAGGGTGGACCACTTCAAAGACTCTCCTTCAGGGATCTCCAGTTGCTTTGCCTTCTAGTCACCTGCATATGCCCAACCAAGAGCCACCCAGGATGAACCCACACTGAGCATCTGCTCTGAGGCCCTGTGGCATGAGTATGGGAGGTTGAGGGGCTGGGGGCAAGTAAATGGCTGTCCTCTTTATGCATTTATGGCTTCAGCTATAGCTGGAGTCTCCCTTTTGCTTCCGTTTGGCATCTGTTCCAGACCTTTTGACACCCCTCAAATCCCCTAGCATCTTCCCAGTCCTTTCATTCAATAGAATGATGGTTTGCCACTTTATGGAGGAAATGGAAAACGTCAGGGGTGAGGCTTTATCCAGCCATTTTACCTTTTCTCCCTTCTGTTTCAGAATTGTCTCTCTTCCTCTTTAGGGTAAGAGTAACCCTGTCTCCATATACCATTGACCCCATTCTCTCCTGTCTCCCATCTTTATTCCATTGATTATTCCCTCTGCTCCCAAGTCATCACGTCTCCCCTCCCAAAACCATCCTTCCTAGAAGTAGTCAGTACTCCTTCAGCTTCTGTGTATTCACTCCTCTCGGAGGCAGATCTAGCTGCCCCTCTGCCTCTATGGGCTCTTATTGGCCATCTTATTCTAAAGTAGTGGCACATCTTTCTTCTTGTCTCCAGAGACCTGACACTTAAGACGACATCCTGCTTGTCAATACTCTCTCCCACCTATTTGCCTCTGGTACCACTCAGTCCAAAATCACTTTCTTCTCTTCCTACCTTCTTTCTTGGCCCTTTGATCCTGAAAAGTCAGTGTTTCCAGCATTTTCTATTGGTGGTCCTCAGTTTTCATTTCTCTACACTCCAGGAGAGCACATCTTTCATTACAAAGGAGCATAGTTTCTACCAAGCTCTAAACAAGTGCCGCCATGGGAGAATGCAAGCCTATTGTTGATAGATTGTCTCATTTCTCAACAGCTGTCAGATAACCTAGCGGTTTATGTAAAATGCCTTGACTTTAAATATTGACAATTCAAAATTTTATGAAACTGGGCAGGGCAAACAAAACATGGGTGGTTCTCTTTAGGGCTGTTTTCTTAAAATGTGACTGCCCTTAAAACATTTTTAAAGTACTTTATTAGGAATGGGTAGTTCACACTTAATTGAGAGCTTCCTATGTTCCAGACACTCTTTTAAGTGGTTTGCATGTATGAACTCATTTAATCTTCACAACAGTCCTGTCAACAATATGCTACTATTATCCCCGCTTTATAGATGAGCAAGATGAGATGGAGAGCTTCAGTAATCTGTCCTGGGTCTAGGAGATACTGAGTTTAAGAGCCAGAATTCAAATTCAGGCAGTCCAGCTTGCTCCCAAGCTCAAGCTTTTAACCACTACACTCTGCTTTCCCCACTGAGCAAGAGGAGGAAACTGACGTCCAGAAAATGTTGCCCAAGGTCACAGAGTGGTAACCGACTAAGTGGAGATTTAAAGCTATCACCACAGATATCAGTACTTGCACTTTCTATTGTTCTGATAATTAGTTACCTGTTTCCTTTGCTAGACTGCGTTCCTAGGCCTCAGACTAAGGACTGGAATACAAACGTTTGTAAAATGAGTGCTCGGGGGGACTCAAAACAGTTCATTCACGTCTATTAATAACTTCATTTACTTCCCACAAGTCCTTACGTAAGATGGCAGCTGACATTTCATCAGCGGTTGCCTGTGAGTTCTCCCTTTCACACCTCTTTCATTATTATCCCCATTTAACAGAATAAGAGACCGAGGCTCAGCACAGCTCAGTGACTTGCTCAAAATTCAGCAACTAGTAAGCGGCAGAGTCAGTGTTCTAGCTCAGGCTACATGCCAACTCTCATTCTTGACCAGAGGCCACACTGGCAGTTCTATAGATGGGGAAACTGAGGCTCGGAACAGGACTTGGGTGGGGAGGAGGCGCTGCACTACTGCTCTTCCTCCTCTTGGGCCGCGCGGTGCCATTGCGGGGCGGGAGGCGGAGGGCGACAAGGGGCAGTCCTCCTTAGGGTACCAAGAACCGCTTGGGAAGCACTTAACTACCGACAGAACCGGATGCTCCCGCGGCATCAAGGCCACGGCGTGGGCGTGAGCACGGGAAGTGCGTCATCCAGTGGGCGGGATGAATCGGCGACATCCACCAGTGGGAGCGTCGGGTCCGCGTTCGCCCCGCCCCGAAGGAGGAGCGAAGTGTGCCATTCTGCCTTTGCCGCCGGCTGGGTGGGCTTCGCTCTGGTACCGCGGTGGGTAATCCGGGCGCGGGGGCGTGGGGCTCAGGGGGAAGGCAGCAGGCCGTCCCGAAAGGCGACGGGAGAACGGAAGATGGGGGTCAGGCCCCGGAGTCGACCCGCGTGCTGTGCAGGAGTGTGGCGCTCGGGACCCGGGGGCTGCGGGCTTCTCGTTTTCTGATGAGGAAACAGGCCTAGAGAGGGCCAGAGGGGGCGAGTAGGCTGGACCTTAGCCCCTCTCTCACACACAGACATTTCTCGGTCGTGGTATTATGTGAAAAAATAGTTTCAGTCGTAATATTAGGTGAAAAAAGCAAAAAACAATTTTGTCTAAACTGAATACGTAAGATACGGACTTCGCTGACCAGCCTCAGCTACTCTTGCTGTCTTCTGTCTACCCTCTGTTTTGTGTACAGAACTTATCATTTTGTGCAAGTCCACAGCCCCTTATTTTAAGGCCCTAAGACTAGATGTGTTCAGAATCCCGAATTCTCAGATATCCGACAGGTTAAACGTGCATAGATTGTGTGTTATGTCATACCTTCATCGGGGTCTGGAGCAGCGTCTTGTAATCAAATACATTAATATTTACACAGCCAAATATGTGCATTTTACAGTAAAGTGGATAAAGAACAACCATAAATAGCTTCACCTAAGGTGACATCATGTTTTCAAACTTAAAAGATCTGTTTTTCAGACGTTTTTAGATTTGAGAATTGCACATGAAGGACCTGGATGGTAATTTAATTGTTCACTCATATTTCTCACTTACCTGGACTGGGGTGCCACAGTTCCTGAACTCTGCATTTATGTCACCACCCCCATCTTCATCACTGACTCTGCATGTCACCTTGTGCCATCTCAACCTCAGTTTCCTCATCTGTAATATGGGATTAGTAGTACTCCCCTCCTAAGGTCTAGGAGGGTTACATGGAGCTGTGCATATGGAGCACTAACACTATTTGTTAGCCTGTGGCTCAAATGCATTATGATGGAGGTTTGCTTACTCCACAAACATATCTCTGTTAAAATTGTTAGGGTAGGTAATGTCCATGGTTAACCTCCCTACCCAGAGACAACTGATTTCTGTGCATGAACAAGCCTATCTTTATCTTTCACTCCCATTTTCCTCCCTTTTCTCCCAATTTATAGTCTTCTGTACCATTCTCTACCTCTTCTTAACATGTATTTTAGCTGTCAACATATTTACATAATTTTGTATTAAGATATGTATTAAGACACCCATAACAATGTGTGAAAATACAAGGTTAAAGAATAAAGATGAACACCCATACACTCACCACCAAGTTAAAGAGAACATTATCATATCCTTAAAGGCTCCCATTGAATCCTTTTTTCCTCTTGCCAAAGATAACCAATATGCCCTGAATATCGTGTTATTCATTGCCTTGTTTTTCTTTGGAGTATTTGCTGTACGTGTATCGAATGAATACAAGGGATAGTTTTGCTAGGTTTTGAATTTTATACAAATGGGATCCTATTATATGTGTGACTTTAGTTTTGCACTTAACATTATATATATGACATACTTAGATGTTGATGTTAGTAGCTTTACTTTATCTTCATTGCTGTTTTGAATTCCATGGTATGGTTGTAAATGCTTTATATAGATATTTGTCCATTGACTGCCATTTGTACTGTTGCCAGGTTTTTGCTATTATGTGGTGCTTTTATAAACATTTCTTGGGGCAAATGTGGAAGAACTTCTGTAAGTTACATACCTAACAGTGGGTTTCTGGGGCTATCCAAATTTATTAGTAATAGCAAGTTGTTGTCTGAAGTGGTTACAATACAAGTTTCTTAAGAATTTTTGCCTATCTGGTGATAGGTAAGACATTAATCACTGAAGTTTTTAATACTCATTTGCCTGGTGACATTGATTTTGAGTATCTTTTCATGTGTTTATTAATCATTTGTACATCTTCTTTGTAATGTTTCTCTTGCTTATTTTTCTCTTATGGTTGTCTTCCCCTTATTGATTTGTAGGTGTTCTTTTTATATTCTGAATATGAATTTTTGTGGCTTATGTGTGTTTCATATACCTTCCAGAAGACGTATACCATACGTCTTTTCTCTCTCTCTCCTACTCTGGTGTTTTTGGTGAGCAGAGGTTCTTAATTGTAACAGTCTAATTTATCCCATATTCCTTTATGGTTTGTACTGTTTCTATCTTGTGAAGAAGTCCTTCCCTACCTTTGAGTCATAAAGATACTCCCCTATATTGTTGTCCAAAAGCTTTATAGTCTTTCCTTTCTTATGACCTTAATCCTCAAGAATAGATTTTTGTGCATAGTGTGAGCTAAAGGTCTAGTTGTATTTTTTTCACTTATGGATAATCAATTGCTCTGGCACCTTTTATTGAATAGTTTGCTTTGATCTGAAGTTCCATTTCTCTAGTGTTAAGTATCCATATATGTATGCATTTCTGAATTCTCTATTCTGTCCCACTTGTCTTATTTGTCCATTTCTATATCATTATCACACTTTTTCATTGCTCTAGCTTTATAGTAAGTTCGTACCTGGTACCTACTTTCATTTACTCCAAGAATGTTTTTTGCTGTTTTACTTACACATTTTCCATATAAATTTTAGAATCATCTTGTTAAATCATACACAGACACACAAAATATGTTGGGGTTTTGAGTGGAATTGCATTGATTCAGTTTCATTGGATCTATTTGGATTTTAAAGTGATTGCTTTCAGTGTTTCATTCTTAAGTGATATGTTTGCTGTAGGTTTTGTGGACGTCATTTAGTAGATAAAGGAAGTTTCCTTCTCTTCCAAGTTGGTTAAGAGTTTTTAGGTATGAGTAAGTCGAATTTTATCAATTGTATTTCTGTATCTGTTAAGATAATCATGTGCTTTTTCTCCTTTATTATGTTAATATGATGACATGTTGATTTTCTTTTCTTCCCCAGCTTCATTGCCATATTATTGACATAACATTGGATTTATTTTCAAGTTGATTTCAAAATGTTAAACTGTTACTGGGATAAACTCAGATTGGTCATGGTGTATCATCCTTTTTTACATTGCTAGATTCTGTTTTAACATTTTGCTTTGGACTATTGCAGCTATGTTTGTGAAAGATACTGGCTTTTCATTTTCCTTTCTTTTGAAGTCTTTGTTAGGTTTTAGTGCCCAACTTTTGTCAGCCTTATCAGATGATTTGGGGAGGGCTTGCTCTTCTTTTGGCTTTGAGATAGTTTGTGTAACATTTGAAATTAGTTGTTCCTAGAATGTTTGATAGAACTCCCCCATAAATCTGTTGGGACCTGATGCTTTTTTTGTGGGAAGATGGATTTTCCATAGAACGTCTTCAGTGGTTATAAAACTTAATAGGTTTTCGACTCATTCTTTAGTTGCTTTTGAATGAATTTGCTGAGTTTGCACATATTTAAAACTTAGGATTGTTATAAGTTGTTTATAATATCCTTTCTATATGTTTGCATCTGCAATTAGTTTCCCTTTTTGAGTCCAAACTTGTTTATTTTTAAGTTTTTTCTCTTGGAAAATCTCTTCAGAGTATTATCACTTTCATTACATTTTTTTCAAAGAATAATTTTGGTTTTTTTGATCTCAGGTGTATGTTTATTTTCTATTTCATTAATTTCCACTCTTCATTTATTTTCTTTGGGTTCAATTTGTTGTTCTTACAGCTTAAGATGGATGCCTAGCTGATTAATTTTCATGCTTCCCTTTTTTAAAAAAGATAAACATTTAAGGCTATTAATTTCCCTCTTGTGCTTTAATTGCCTCCTGCCAGTATTTATGTATAATATTTTGTTGTTTTCAGTTCAAAATATTTTCTGATTTCCATTAATAATTCTTTTGATAATGGATTATTTAGAGGTGTGTTTCTTAAATCCTAAGCAGGATTTTGTAGTTATCTTTTTGTTTCTGGTTTCCAAATTTATTGTGGTCTGAAGGACTACAAGCACGCCCAGCACAGTTGTGCAATTGTGCAAATCTTTTCTCACCTTATTGATTTTTTTGTTCATTTCATCAGTTACTGAGAGGGATATGTTAAAATGTCCCACTATGGTTATGGATTGGTATGTTTATAGTTCTGATAATTTTTGCTTTACTTGGTTTTGAGATTCTGTTATTAGGTGCCTAAATATTTTAAATTGTTCTCTCTTCTTGGGAATTGAACCTTTTTTATTAGTTTGTGGTGACTGTCTTTATCTCTAGTAATACTTTCTGCCTGAGCATCTATTTTGTGTCCTATTAATGTAGCCACACCAACTTTTTATTGGTTAGCTCATAGAGTACATATTTTTCTGTCCTTTTAATTTTTTGACATTCTTATGCTTTCAAAGTAACTTTTATAATAATATAGCTAGATTTTATTGACTACTCAACTTGATAAGTTTTTTATCTTTTTGGTCTAACAGCCTGGCTATGTCATCTGCTTAAAGACTGTTTCTTTGGGTAGCCCAAGTATCCAAAATTTCTAGGATGAAAGTCTGAATTTCTTAGCCCTGCACATTCTGTTGTGCCTAGAACAACCAATGGCAAATAAGGTACATAAAATGCAGTGGATGAGCAAAATGGTCCTAGTGATAGGAAGTAAACTTGGCAGGACTTGAGGGTTGGCCGCATCTGAGGCTAAGAGAGAGGAGGATCAGAGGTGGGTGCTCAGGTCTGCAGTATTTGTATGACTGTGTGGATGGTACCACCCAAACCGATGATTCGTGAAAGACTCAGGAGGAAAAGGGTTGAGGATTGTGGAAGGAGAAGATGAGTCCAATTTAGGATTTGTTGAAGTTGAGGTGCTAGTGAGATATTCTCACAGATACCTAATAGGCAGTCAGAGAAACTGGTCATGAGATAGTGCATCTTCTCAGCTCTGAGGTCCAGTTTATTATGCGGATTAAAAAGAACAATAACTAGCGTTCTTGTGTGTCTCCTATGTGCCAGGTCCTTGGCAAACCTTGGCTACTCATATCTCATTTAAACTCCATTTTATGCCTTAAAGATCGTTATTACTATTATCCCTATTGATAGATGAAACGACTGAGGCTTTTAAGCATGTTAGCTAAAAGTGTTTCTGTGCTGTATTTGCCTAAGGTAACAGTGAATTTCTTGTCATATCATGGCATCACCTGAAGTGACTGTTAAAACCTCACAGTTCCAGGCCCCTCTGCAGTCAGAACCTCCAGGAAAGGAGCCTGGGGATCTGTGCTTTTCATATGCAAGTTAGATGATTCTTAAGATCAGGCAGGCCTGACAAGCACTGTTCTTAACACCACCTGTCTAGTTATAAGCCCACGCTCTTAGCCCCCACACTGCAAACCTTCTCTGTGGTAGGAGCAGGCTTTTTGATCAGGGCTTGTGTAATGGTTTTTCAACTCTGATCTTTGTGGTTTGTGGAAAGACAGCATTTTAGTAGAAAGCAGGAGATTTAAAAAATACCCTGCAATTCTGCCATAACAGTTGTTTTGTTAGTGGTTTGGAAAATGAGAAGAAAACTAGAATTTATTAAATATTTACGAGCAGTTCTCTAAGCAATGAACACTATTCTAATTTTACAGCAAGAAAGTGGGGCCTCAGCTAAATTTACCCAAGGCCGTAGATCTGGTAAATGGCTGAGCCAAGTTTCAGACCCAGAATTGTCTAGCAATAAAAATAGCTAACACTTTTTTAGTGCTTAGTCTGTTCCCAGGTTTTTCTGTGTATTAATTCATTTAGTGCATAATTTAGTAATTCTGTGGAGGATGTTTCTGTCATTATTCTCACTTTACAGATCAGAAACTGAAGCACGTAGAGATCAGGTTTCCCCATTTCCCACACGTAAGATGGGGAGCAGGCTGTGAATACAGGCATTGTTGGGCTTCAGCATCCACACCTCTCACCACTGCCCATACTAATTTGCCTAGACCCTAACTTTTGTCCTTTTCATTTTTGTACTATTCACCATGCTTAAATTGATTTTTAAAACTATAATAAACTTCCATTTGTTAATGTAAATTAGTACAAAACCTAGAGCATTGCTTTTGGTGTGCTTCAAGGTGACTAGATTTCATTTGCTTCTCTTTTAGCTCCTTCATACATGCAGGGCAGTACAAGAAGAATGGGCATCATGACTGATGTCCACCGGCGATTCCTCCAGTTGTTGATGACTCATGGAGTGCTGGAGGAATGGGACGTTAGGCGCTTGCAGAAGCACTGCTATAAAGTCCATGACCGTGAGTTCCATTTTCCTGTCCCAGGATGCTCTGGTACTGTATGATCAGGGACTGGTGGCAGTGGTATAATACCACGGACCCAGTCAACCTGCACTCCTGACCTGGGCATTCAAGTCTCTCACAATCTCATGCCAGCCCATCTGTCTCATCTCATCTTCGACTCTTTAGTTTTTTAAAGTAAGTCTGACATTTAGCCCAGTGGATAAGAACTTGGACTCTGAAGCTATGTAGTTGTGGTTTACACTAAGGCTCCAGCACCCTCTCCAGCCTGAGTTTATTCTTCTCAAAAATGAGGATGATTAATTGTACTTGATACATAGGGTGGTTCAGAGGCTTAAGAAACATTATACATATAAAACACCTAGCACAGGGAAACTGCTCAGTTGGCTGTTGGTAGTAAGAGGTCCACTTAGCACAGCCTTGGACTTGGGCATACTTGGAGAAGTGCCATCCCTGCCCTGTGCCAGCTGTGGGCATTTGGAGCATCTTCTCAGTGGGTTCTTGGTAGGGATACATAAGATAATGCACAGGAAGCATTCAGACATAGGACCCAGGTGCATGCTAAATTTTCAGTAACTGGCAGTGGCAGTAGAAGCAAGAGGAGCAATGTTAATAGGTTGGTGTAGTTAGTGTTAGGTCTTCCTGAGTTGAGTGTCAGTATGAGTAGGTCTTGTTGAGTGAGAAAGGAAGTTGACAAATTAAACTTATTGTATGATGTCATTATGTTTTTTGTAAAATAACAGTTTTTGTGGTTCATGAGTACATATATCTGCATGTAAAAATGCAGAAGCATACTGGAAGGATATGCAACACACTCATGAGGTGCTTACCTTTGGGAAGAGGAGGAGTGGGATCGGTTTGTCACTACACATCAGAAGACGCTTCATCTTTATCCTACAGTTGGCTCTTGAACAACATGATTTTGAACTGCGTGAATCCACTTACACGTGGATTTTTTTCAGTAAATATACAGTATCTGTAACTAGATGTGAGGCAGCAGATTTCATGGGTGGTGTGGAAAAGGAAGAATGTTGTACACGCATAGTGGCCTGTATGGGGATTGAACCTGCAAGCTGGTGTTACTTACACTATTCTCTAATCAACTGAGCTGACCAGTGGCTATCTGGATCAGAGAGAAACACAAAGGCCTGAGAGGAGCAGAGGAACTGAAGCCTGGGTTAGGCAACTCAGAGGAAGGAGGTGGGTAACCTTTGCCTTTTCCAAGTACGCTCCTCCCATCCAGGGCTTGATCCACATGCAGGCAGGTGTCAATCCTTGCAGGGGCCAGTAGAGCAATTAGTTCACCCTCTACTTGCTCTGTGTTGGACTCTACAACCCTATTTCTTTTCTTCTTTTCTGCTCTTTGTTGCATCTGAAGTTAGTTGACCCATTTTATATACAATAGGCTATTAGTAGGTAAGTTTTTGGAAGAGTTAAAAATTATATGCAGATTTTCAGCGGCACAGGATATGGTTGCCCCTACTCCTTGCATTGTTCAAGAGTCAACTGTATTTTCTTTTACTAAAAAAAATAAAGACTTGAAACAAGCATGGCATTATTAGGGTAGTCTAATAGTTGTCACTTCTGATTAATGGGAATATCTATCTCTGTATTTTTAATTTTCAAAGGAATAGTGGAGAAACAAGTGAGCCAAGCCAAGAGAGGTGAGGGAAGGTATGGGAGAGGCACAGAGTGAAGGGAAATGAGAAACGATGATGTTTAGAGAACTGCAGATAGAGCCAAAACCAGATCCAAGAGTGTTCAGGGGTGTATGGGAGTTAAGATGGGGGAGACACAGTGAATATAGAAAGAAATTCTTTCATGATGTGCAGAAGAGGGAAGATCAAAGAGGGTGGCATGTTCAGGAAGAGGCAGGGTTTGAAGTGACTGGTCCATTGAGGTGTTCCATGGGAAATTCTGGGAGCTTGATAATGCGCACTAACAAATTACGTGCTTGGAGGGGTTCTATAGTAAGGAAACCTGTTTAGCTTTGTTCAGTCCTGTGTGTCTAAACTTAATTAACTTATAAATAACATACCTTGGGAAACCCTAAAAAAGAATGTATGATGTGTGGGAAGAGAATAAGCTCTTTTCATATGTAGGTTTACAGATTGTGAAGAGCCTATGTACACCATAGTAATTTTTTTTTTTTAAGTTTAGTTCCATGGTTAGTATGGACCTTTAGAAGGATTTGAAGCAGGGAAGTGACGTAATTAGTGCTATGTTTGAGAACTGTCCCTCAGCAAAAACATATCTGCTCTTATTGCCTGCACTGTGGTAGATAGGAGGTGAGAGCCTCTTTATGGAAAAGCAGTGAACTGTCAAGCTACTTCTCTTGCTGTTTCAATGTACAACAGGACTTTAAACCTATCTTTCAATAATGATGCTTTTTAAATCTTTATTTATATGACAATTCATTCCTTTTCCCTTTTAGTTTTGTAAGTCCTGAATGTGAGGTTTAATGTTGATGGGGAAGTTTCATAGCTTACTGCAAGGAGCCATATGATGCTTTAGTACCACGAATGAAAGTGTTTTTGCCTTTATTTGACCTTTAACGTTGTTGTGACCTAATTTAGGAAAGTCCTGTAGAATGTGTCTAGGAATTGATTTATTTTTCACACTTTATATGCCATTTCTGTGTATCAAGATATGGTTACAGCAAGGGCAGTGAGGATAGAACTATAGTTTGTTTTTTTCATTGAAAAAGAAAAAGCTTGTTCTCAAATGTTACTGTTATTTGAGAGATTTTAAAACAAGGAATGATGGAAAAAAGTGCTCTCAAATGAAGTAGATACTTACAAGCCCTAATATTATTAATCTCCTTATCTTTTGAAGAGATGCCCAGGAAAGTCCCCTTTTACCAACTAGAAAAATATTGTTCCTAAGACAGTTATGAAACAAAGGAATAATTGAAACTGCCAGTTATTCTTATTGTAGTTTCTCTCTGTGTTCATCCAGTTTATCAAAGCACTTCCCATGTTTGGCTTTGGTTTGATCTCTCTTCTTATTGTCATTAGGGTGAAAATAAACTCCCCCATTGTCCTGGCTAGTGAAAAGTTTGTATTTTGTGCTGATGTCCTGGTGTAAAGCCTTGCATCTGGCTTTTCTGAATGGTATTTGGGGAACTGTGTTCCCAGAGCACCTTAGATTTGAGCCAGAGCTTGCAGAAATGCATGTCATTATCCAACACAACTTCCTGAAAATCTTTTGTGAGCCAGGCCTCTCTTCTACGGCCTGGTAACACAGAGATAAAGCTTAACTTTGCCTTGGGTCTTGTGAATCATACAGACACTGAATCAGATGATTCTAGTATAAACCCCCTTGATGGAAGTAGGTGCAGGAGGCCTAGGGAGTGATAGTTAAGAAGACTTGGATTTGAGGATTTCCACTTCTGAACAAGATAGACTAATGGAGCAATTTGCCCTTCTGTCTGAAACAATTAAAAATGGGCAACATATACGAAACGTTGGACATTAGTCAGTGAATGACATCATCTCTTATGAGATAAGCAATGAGGGTTTTTTCCCCCTCTTGACACCAAATTTGTGTTGTCTTTTCCAACATGACCTCTCCAGTTCTCTGGATACCACCCGGGTGTCCAGTAACTCAATTTATTCTGATACTACCTGGAGTCGGTGTCAGATCCCACAATTAAAGGGGCTCATGTCCGACAAGACTGATTCCATTTCAGGTGCCAGTCACAAGTCCTACTTCTGACCTAATGACTATAAATCAGGGGTCCCTGAGAACCCCCCTCCCAAGGCTCAGTAATCTGCTAGATTGGCTCCAGAACTTACAAAAACACTTTACTTACATTTGCTGGCTTACTGTAAAGGATACAGCTCAGGAACAGCCACATGGAAGAGATGCATAGGGTAGGATATATGTGGAACTTCCATTCCCTGCCAGCACCTTGATATGTTCACCATCCTGGAAGCTCTCTATGTCCCATCATTTGGGTGATATTTGGGAGATTTCATTACATATGCCCAATTGATTAAATCACTGGTCATTGTTGATTAGCTCAATCTCTAGCCCCTTTCCTCTCCCCAGAGTTGGGGGATGGGACTGAAAGTTACAAGCTTCTAATCAAGGCTTGGTCTTTCTGGCAATCACCCCCCATCCTGAAGTTATTTAGGGACCTGCCAAGAGTTGCCTTATTAGAACAAAAAACACTTCTATCACACTATCATTCAGATTTAGGAAATTCCAAGGGTTTTAGGAGCTCTGTGGCAGGAACTGGTGTAAAGACCAAGTATTGTTCTTGTACCACCAGTAGAAATGTGGTGAGCACTAAAAACTGATCACCAAAGGAACTATCTGAGAAGCTAGGGAACGGACCAGTCGAGAGGATTAGAGAGAAACAATGCGGAATGTTCACACAGGGCTGTCAATAGTGCCTGTCCCAGGGCCAGATGGCTTTATTGGTGAATTCTACCAAACATATAAGGAGAAAGTAATACCATTCCCATCCAAATTCTTCCAGAAAATTGAAGAGAAGGGATCAGTTCCCAACTCATTTTGTGACTAGAATCTAATTTTTCTTGATACCAAAACCAAAGATAGAGCAAGGAGAGAAAACTAAAGACCAAGATCTTACATGAATATAGGTGCTAAAATTCTAAACATAGTTTCAGCAAATCTAATCTAGCAATATATAAAAGATTGATACAGTATGACCAAGTGGGGTTCATCCCAAGAATGCAGGGTGGTTTATGGTTGAAAATCAATTGGTATAATTCACTGTATTAACAAACTAAAACAGAAAAACCATGCGATCATCTTAATTGGTTCAGAAAACACTCTTGATGAACTACAATATTTACCCTGGCATGATGCAGCAGAAGTTTCCCACAGAAAATTAAAGGGATCCTAAAGAGCAGGGTATAAGCAAGATAAACAAGACCTCAGGACTTAGAGCAGGAGAGAGGACTATCTGCAGAGTTAAAGAATCCAACATCTGTTCCTTACAGAAGTCCTCAGCAAAGTTGGAAAATAAG